TCCCAATTCTGAGTTGAGAGACATATAACTAGAACGATGTGACATGATCGCGAGACGGGAGGTCTCCTTTTACTTATTTACGTCTCATATCTCTAATTTGTATACTTAGAAATCGTTAGAGATACCAAAATCTAGAGTAGATCGTCATTATACAGACCTTTCTCAGCCAAGCACTAGGCGCCTGTAAACCCATGCTTCTTTTACTTCAATGTCTGTAAAAATTGGTACTCCATGTACCCATTTGAATTGTTACTCTAGAGTTAACCAACTCGAAGACTTCCGGGAGATCTTGTATCTATCTCTCTCTCTTTCTAGAATAACGCGAGAGTCCCAGCATTCCCCATCTAGGACACTATTATTCATTCATATTGGTAAATATCTTAAGAAAATCTTCCATTATTTTGCACACCTACCCATTCCTTTTTTGCCTTGTTCGTGGTAGTGGACTTATAATTTTATAAAAACCTATATTCATTACCCAAACTGATCCGATTACTATGGTGTTAATAGCTACGCGTAGCTGTTGTCCCATGAATTACTATTTGAACTGTTTAATAATCAAGGTTATCTAAACGCAGCAGTTAGTCCCACATTCGGTCCATTTGCCCTGTAGGCAGCTGAGATTGATACTCGGCCCTTCATGTCCGTAGGATCTACTAAGGACCATGGCGAATTCATCCCGAGGTCTGCGATTGATCTGATTCGGTGCGTTTTATTTTGGAATCCAAAAAATGGTTTCCATTACACATTGATGATAGATTGTGGATAATCAATCCGATGTTAGGGATTTTGGTTCTCTCTCTCTGTTACCTTAACTGCAACAACCACTCCAAAAACATGGCTATAATTCGTTCTCTTCTCTCTAGTTGGGAATCACCACAATAACAATGTATAAGTCTATGGTCTCACAAGACTAATGTCTCCGCTTGTGACAGAATACGGGACACCTCGTAAAAAATAAACGGTTTCCTCCAGACAAAGATTTTGATAGTTAGTCTGACCCTTTATCTTCATTCTAGAATCCTTTTAGGAGAGCTTCATTTAATTTAAGTAATATTCCTTTTCTTGTGTTGTCGCAGATGCTGCCTGCGCACTCTATTAGATTTGTAATGTTTGAAGTCTTCTTTTTGCGAGTCTGTTAGCTGAGTGTATTTTTGAGTTGTTTACGGTCCTTCTAACTGTGAACTAGAACTCATGATATAAACTCTTCCGTTCAGAAAGATGAACAAGGCTGTGCTTCATGCATGTTTTTCCTATGGCGGTAAAGCACACAGTGGTGGCTCGGATCTCTCTTATCTTCTTTTAATTCATCTTTCTTCTCTATGCGTGTGTGATACCACTTGGCTTATCCTCATTAGCGCAATTTGAGTCAGCCGCCGAATATAATGTATGTAGAAGGTGCCAACGCATCGTCGACCTAGGAGTAGACTTATCTTGTTTCGACCGTCTGATGTCATGGGACTATAAGACAAAAAACGAAGGCTAGCTTCATGAAAAACCTCTCAGTGTACTAAATGATTTTCACGTTCTTGGAAAAACAGATTGGATAAATATATCCTATTTAATCTTCATTTGTGATTGTTATTTATACTGTACTTACATAAGACTAAAGTCACACATAACTTACTTTTGTGTGATTTTGGCTGATAATGATGAAATTATGCATTACAATTCAGTTATTGTATGAATAAAGGGGATTCTATAATATTATAGCGTGCGCTCTTGGTATGATTTGGGGCTTAAAGATACTGAACTAAAATTTCGGTGATTGAGAATGGTTACATTACGTGCCGCTGTGTTGGCGATGATGTGTTGGTCTAGAAAGACGTCTCTAGCAGCACAATCTTATCTGTTCAAGTGTCTTTGTGTGAAGTAAGTCTGTAATTTAAAGTACAGAATTTACTACTCTGACTCTTACCGAATGCGAAGATATAGAATCTACTCACCTGCGGCTAGTGTGTGCTGTGATGTATGAGCAGGCTCTAGATCAGGTCAGTTGAATCCTATTGCTGGGCAAAGACAAGAAGCGTAGAAGAGGTTGGTGCCTGTCCAGACTGATGGGGGCTGTGAATTTAATTAGCCGATTGGTACGGAAAGACATTAGTGGGTGTTAAGGAAGGAACATGACGGAAAGAAAAAGTTATTTTTAAACTTGATAACATAGTGTGCAGTGTTGATGGTTTATGTGCAGTTTGTGTTTGTATGTATGTGTGAGAAGATTTAAGTCAGATATGTCACCGAAAAATAGCAACGACGAGATCGGGTGATGATTCATCATCTATGAACATAAGCGTGTAATCGAGTGAACAAAGAAATTCAGGAGGTCATATGTTGTGCGCTCGTATAGCGATTCGAGTGTCAGGATGTGGATCTCAATACAAGTGGAGATCGATGGTGCTTGGTGCTGAGAATTAGTGAGATGAAATTGTAATACTAAAGCTCTCAAGTAGCTGGTATAGATACGGTGGGGTGATGAGGGAAGGAGCAGGGAGTGGAGGGGCGTATGAAGGAAGACTTGGTACGTCGGCCTGATGGTGGTAGTAACAAAGTACGAGAAATGGATGCAGCCAGGATTGCCGAAGGATGAGAAGAAAAGAGGGTTGGACGATAGTCTCCTGCAGTCCGCCGAATAGGGTGATGAATATGTCCCTGTGTGAGTGAAGATGTTGTGTTGTGTTGTTAGTGAATGCTGATGGTGTGTGTGTGGTGTGGTGTACATCTGTGACTTTGTTGTGTTGTGTTATGTGAAGTGTGTGTGCTATTCTGTGTGTGTCTGTGTTGTTGTGTGTGTGTGGTTGTGTGGTGTGTGTTGTGTGTGTGTGGTGGTGGTCTGTTGTGTGCGTGTGCGTGGTTGCTGTTCTGTGTGTGTGCTGTGTGATTGATGTTGTCCGTACGTGCTTTCGGTGGTGGCCTGAGGTGTGTATGAGATGGGTGTGAAAACTTCACAGGACTCCTCCAAGGATAGTGACCCCTGGAGACCATCGGTCCACTAGGATTTTGTCGCTGACACAAGCGATTAGTTTGGAGTGCAGGTAGCCCCTTATGCCGCAAAGCTTCCCTGGAAGACGCTCCGCTCCGAGGTTTGAGTCAGTGTGTCGTCTACGAAGAAGTTCTGCTCTGGTGTGTGCTGGTGTGTTAGATTAGTTCGTGATCTGTGGCTGATGAATGGTGCGCGTCATGCCTGTTTGCCTGTTGTCGTCTGGCTGCGACAGTGTTGTGCTAGTGTGTCCTCTGGACTGGTGGCGGTGTTGCCGCGGTGAAGGTAATAGGAGGAAAGGAGTGGTGTTTGTGTGGCTGTTTGTGTCGTGTAGTTCATTGGGTCGAGGCTGTCAGTGCTTGATGTGTGTGAGATTTGTCCCCACACCGCTGGCGGGTTGCGGGCCTCCGCCGTTGCTTTAGTGTGTGTGTGTGGGTGTGTGTGTGATAAGGTGTGTGTGTGTGTTGTGTTGTAGTGTGTGTTGTGTGTGTGTTGTGTGTGTGTGTGTGTGTTGTGTGCTGTGTGTGTGTGATTCTCCAGTATTTGGTGTGTTGGTGTGTATGAGAGTGTGTGTGTGTGTTGTGTGGTGGTGTTGTGTGTGTGTGTTGTGTGTTGTGGTGTGTGAATAGTGTTGTGTGTGTGTGTGTGTGGTGTCTTATCGATTCCGAAGGAGTCCCCAAAATCTGTGGCTCACTTTTATGTCACTTTTGTGCGTCCGCAATCTCGCTTCGAGCGTAAAATCGCAGTGGTTCGGGTGATTGTGCGCGCCACGTGCATTCGATCGGTTGCCATGGCGAGCGCTTGCCTCAGTCCCTTGCGACACGCCTTGACCTTCGAATGAAAAACCTCGACCACATCGATTCCGCATTTTTCAAACAATCGAACTCACCAAAACGAAATGTACGCTCTCTCTCATCTCTCAATATTACGTTAACTACTAATCTTGGGAAGGCGAACCATAATTTGGCAATAGTACATACGTTTTCGAAAACAAAATCACTTCATATTTTTGCCAATTGAAAGTTACTTATATAATATGAACTTACGGCTTAGGGTAGTAGCTTTCATTGATCTGAGGATTACACTCGGGAACAATACGGGCCATTAACAGAAAGCCCTGTAATAAAAACTATTTTAAATTTCAGTAAGTAGCTGGATTTTTTCAATTTTTTACAAGAGAATTGACAATTAATAATTTGAATTTCAAAAAATGTAAGAACCACTTACCGAACTTTTTTCTCTTTTTTACACAAGTCTCCATAGAGGCCAGCAGATTTATCCTGCCTAAAAGTTATTCAGTGAAAAAATGCACTTAAGATAAACAATTAAAGCCCATGTTAATTCTTACTTACTGTTTGATATATTACATTTCATTACAATATTGCCAAACTCTGCTAATACACAAAGCAGACTGCACTATCCAAAACATCTTGAAATGCAACCAACTTTACATGGACACAAATGCACAGGGACCTTACAGCTAATCACACACACTTGCCCTGCCTCTCTGCCTGCCAGCCAGTCAATCAATAAGTGGGGGGACATTCATCACCATGGCTACCTTCAAACCGGAAACATATACGCTTAATTTCTTCATACTAGTATAGTCATTTCAGTATTTAAACTCAAGTTCTAACAATCATTCATGAATTTATTATTTTTAAGTCATAAAAGTAAATTAAATATAGTTGAATTTTAAAAAATTCCCTCTGGAGAGAAAATTTTAAGACGTAAGTAAGCAGTTTTTACACACATCACAAGTAATGTGTGTTAAAACTGCCTGTTACTCCTTACAAACACACACGGTTTGGTTTTTACAATTTACTCTGCACAAGTGTTGTTGTTGATGTTGTTGTTGCAGGACATTCATACTTTAGATCAAGCCATTAGCAATAATTTTTAAATTTTAATAAAACATTTATTGCTCAAGGGAGATATGCTATTGAAGAATTACTCAACTTAGTCTCATTAAGAACTTGCCATTCCATCCACTTCCCCATTAAAAAAATAAAATAAAACAAGCAAGTAAAATATTAAGTATTTTATTTCTACTTTTCAAACTTCTTTACATTGTTCAATTACTGTGTCAAAGTGCATACAATTTGTTACAAAAATATTTAAACCATTTCTACAGAACAAAGTCTTTACATTGAAATAAACAAACAGTAAGATTAAAAACCTCCTTAATAACTGTCATAAGATCCACTTTCATTATAATTGTTTTCATAATTATTACTTTCATAGTTATTCTCATAGGAGCCATCAGCACCCTGAGGGCGAATAGCCCTTGGGGGCGGTGGGGGCCGCATTCCACGTGGTGGTGGAGGGGGACCTCTTGGAGGAAACGGAGGTCGTCCAAAGGGGGGGCGGCCTGGAGGGGGTGGCCGCCAACCAGGAGGAGGTCCACCTACAAAAGAAAATTCATGATTTAGATTTTCAGTTGAGAACACATCAGCAAGACAAGTACAAATTGATATCTTTGATAAAATATTATTTTTCTTGTTCCTAATCCAAGCATGAGGTTGGAAACTTCAATTTATTAAAGCAAATTATTTGTAAACTACCCAATTGCCTCTGAATACCAAACCAACATTTTTTATTTCATGTCAATTTCATTAGCCTCACAAATTTATTTTTTTGTTCTGGAAAATTTAATTTATTAAGCAGAAACACTTGCATTCAATTAGTAAAATGAAAAACTTTCATTGAACAACACACAAACCGATTTCCTAGCAAATACAATTACTGAAAATTAATATGGTGGCCAGTTTCTTGGATCAAATTTTTCCGATTTTCTAGCATTTAATTTACTTTTCCCTGATACAATTTGCAGAAGATTTCTCACTTTTTAAACAAAATACTATTTAAAAGCAAGTCTCAAATGTCTGCAACAATTTTAGAAAAGTTTTTAATTTTTCTACTACATTCAATTAATATTGTAAATTTAAAAATAGTTTGATTGTAAGATATACAGACATTTCTGTAGCTTTTATTTTCATGCTTATCAAGAATCAACAAAATCTCAATATGAACTTCTCTGAAAGACCTTTCCCAATTCTTGAAGGTAAGGATTTTTTTCCATGAAAGGAGATCCAGCTTATTACAATTTACTTACTGGAATGCATACTAATTGTCACTTCTAAAATCACTTAGACACACAGCTGAGGGTCACAAAGGATACGGGAATGCAAGCTTATCTGCCACATTCCTTATTGTATGAGTTTGCACCTCCAATAAACACTGAAGAAAGCTATGTGGGCTCTCTTTATGTTGGGTCAGTTTCTAGCAAATTGTAGGAGAGGCGAGCATTAGACAACTTTCTTTACACACAGTCAAACTGTTTGTTCACCTTGCCAGCAACACAAAGTAAAAGAATACACAGGAGAGAAATTTATCAGCATAGGCTTTACCCCTGCAGTAACTCAAATTCACTTGCACTATTGCAACTTGAGAGTCAAACCCCTGGTGGTTTTCAAACCAAATTTGACAATATTTACTTTATATAAATTACACCAAAAAAAAAACTTTCCCTAAAATTATAAAAGGAATAATACTTATTTTTAAAATTGTCTCAAAAAATTTCCTGACTTCCAATTATTATCTAAAAATTTGATTTTTCCTGTTTTTCCAAAACATTGTCACCCTGATAAGATGTGATGATTTGAGTAGCCAAGACCATTATATACTGATTAAGACTAAATCCATCAGTGAATTGATAAAGCAAAAATTAAAGGTATCTTAAAGATTATCCTCTACAAAAGGAAATGGACTTTGTTCATAAGGGACACAGAAAGCATGCAACTAAAGTGTTGCTGTTGAGAGCAGCTTGCACAATTTGCTTCCTTCCATCTACTGCCAGGCAGCTCTACTTACCATGAGGTGGGGGTGGAGGGTACTGCCCTCCTTGGAACTGGCCCTGGTGATGAGGTGGGGGTGGAGGATACTGACCCCCTTGCCAAGGAGGAGGCATCATCCTTGGCGGAGGCGGCCCACCCTGGGGAGGAGGGGGCATTGGTGGCATGTGGTTCATCTGCCCCATTGGGGGTGTGGGCTGCGGCTGCTGTTGCTGGGGTGGCTGCTGTTGCTGCTGGCCGGCCTGGGGTGGCTGAGGCTGTGAGGCCGAAGGAGGCATCGGGGGAAGTGGTGGGGGAGCAGCGCGGCCCATGGGGGGTGGAGGTACACCTGGAGGCAACGGAGGTGGATGGCCAGGGTGGCCCATTGCCTGTGGAGGCAGTGGTGGAGGGGGAATGCCCGGAGGCATGGCCATGGGTGGAGGGGGAATGCCAGCCGGTGGCGGCACTGGGGGAGGTGGAGGAGGATGCATGCCTGGAGTAGGAGGGGGCGGAGGCACCATGCCCAGCATTGCCACAGGTGGAGGAGGTGGCACTAATGCTGAGGGGGCAGGCATGGGAGCTGGAGGTGGAGCATCAGCAAAGAGCTGATGGGGTCTGTCTGCTTGTGACAAGGGATTCTGGGCAGCCAGCAATCTTTCTGCAGCTGATCCGTGACGTTCTCCCTTCGCATCTTTCTTAAAAGCATACGATACAGAAATCGGACGATTGCAAAGGTATTGTCCATTCATGGCTTCTATTGCAGCATCTGATGCATCAAAGCTTGCAAAATTGATGAAAGCAAATCCTTTGGAATTTCCAGTTTCTGGGTCATGCATAATCTGAAGCAATTAAATTCTATTAATCAAACATAAATATTCAGAGATACAATATTTTGCAAATTCATAATAACGAATTACCTTGGGAGTTTGTAGAATAACACCAAATGCTGAAAATGTATCATAAAGTAGTTTTTCATCTACTTCTGGGTCTAAATTACCAATAAATATATTAGCTCCTACATCTAAATTTTTCTGATGAGCTGATGCCTACAACATGACAAAGATTAATTTATATCCACACAGAAGATGCTGCACAATAATACAAGACTGTTGTATTTGTAATTACCTTATTGACACGTATTGGCTTTCCATATAGTTTTATCATATTCATTATTTTTATAGCATAATCAGCATCCTCTTCTCCCATAAATTCAACAAATCCATAGCCTTGATGCATCTGAGTTACTCTATCCTTTGGCATGTGTACATTAACTGGAAAAACAAGAAAATCAGTTCTTTAGCTTAATACAAAATTCCAATGTAATAGAACAAAATGCATTACTTTAAGGAAAATGGATATGCTATGCATAACAATAACAATGTTATTTTGCTGTGATAATTTTCAACTGCAGTTTACAAAAATTATACGCAAAAGATGACATATTTAATATCCATTACAATGCAGATTAATCTAAAATAATATAAAATCCAAGATGTTGGAATTTACTACTTAGTACACGCCAGAAACCAACTACATACTAGTTCACATCGATACAAACCAACTCCTTTCTGGTGAACTATGTTTAAGAATCAAAGGAACAGACATTGTGAATTTGTGATTTATCCCATTGTCATGCAATGTATATAGTAAATATAAAACAAATATTAATTCTATTAACATGGCTTGTTACATTTGAAATTTCTTTCCAATTTTTTCTTGGTTACAATTCAAAAGCATAAATTAATGACAACTTTTTAATGGCTTTAGAAACATATATATTTTCTTGAACTTAAATGTATTTTCCTGACAATTCAAAACTTTAGAAAAATACACAATATGTACGATATTGGCTTACCTACAGGACCGGATTGGACAAACAGTTCCCACATAAGTGCTTCGGACACCTTCTCATCCAAACCTCCAACATATATCGTAGCATCTACAAAAAATCACATTGATTTTAATAACTATATAAAAATATAAATACTTATAATGCAACTCGAGGGTATTTACATGGAGAACGTTAACCTACCTTGATTACGCTCCGCAATGGGACCTGCAGCCATATCGACAAGCTAGAGGTACTCTCGTCTAAATCTTTCAAAATACCTTGAATAATCTGAAAGACTGCAGTTATCTGCAATCGAGATTCCCATTAATCTTATTTCTACATTTCTCGAATGAAAATATAGAATTTTCACTTATGTCAATGGAACGAGAGCCGCTGTTTCGTACTTTATGACGCTCCTCGAACCGGTACGTCCGCCGATATTCAACTTTCATGGAATTTCCTTGACAAACAAGGACAAACATTTTGCAGTACATTTGACGCTTTTTGGTCCACAGAACTTTGAGATCAAGATGAAGAACTGAGTAGAACAAATCAACAGAGATCGTGCTGGCAGTGTCAGCAATCGATGGACTTCGGCAGAATAGGGAATACAGGAAATGTCAGTTTAATGTAATCAAATGGCAAATGAGGAGAAAAGAATGAAGGAAACACTAAATCCAATATTACATGTCGTGGTGGTTGGATTTCACCATAAAAAGGGGTGTCAGGTAAATACAAAGTTTGAAAGATCATCGTATATTGAATGTCAAACAGGCAAAACTGATTGTATACCTATTGCGACCTTTACCTTACGAGTAAATTGCCTTGTTTTTGACCAAATCATGCAGTAATAATGAAATTGGATATATTTCAAGCATGTGTTTAATATGTGCTGTTAACAACAACAATATCAAATGTTATGAAACATCCAAAATTAAGTTATTTTTCTACATGAATGGTCAAAAGGTGTCGAATTTAGATATTGAAATAAATAGATATTCTATAGGAATTGTATTTGTTTTCAAAATGTAATAGGAGATATGATGCCACTGATATGGTTTTCTGTTTTATCTTCCAGGTTGAGTATTCATTTCCTCCCTTAATTGAAGGAGCACCTCCTGATTTAAATGTTTGCCCATCTGGTTGGAAGTATTTACCAACTCTAGCTTTACCTGATGGCTCTCATAATTTTGATGAAGATACTGTGTACTTTCATCTTCCAAGCCTTACTGATCCAAAGCAAACTGTGTATGGTATCTCATGTTTCAGACAGATTCCAGTGGAAGTAAGTACTAATATCACAGTTTTAAAATAATTTATATACTTGAAGTTTTGATTTCATTTGTGCTTTTTACTTTAAAAGCAAGCATAGTGTGAATCAGGTGTAAATATGAACCCTTTTCTGCAAAATGTGATAATGAGTTTTAAGAAGGAATTTGTATCCAACCGAGTCAATCTATTATATTTACAGAACTTCCTTTAACATACACTGATTTTTGTGTTGAACTTCCAGTTGAACCTCTGCAAAGGTTACGTGGATGGCAATATAGTACAAAAAGTTTCACTTTTTGAAATTTTTATCAGACTTACATTAATGACTCTTGAGGTTAGTTTTTATTGAAAATGCTGCCACTGAATATTTTTCCACAATGGAACTTTTCATGTAGGCAATATGGAAAGTGTAGATGACCCTTGTCAACTGTATGATCACCTGTGACCGAGAAGTGTTCAGTATTATTCTTGTCACAAGGATATTTCGCAACTAAATTGTATTCTGATTTGTTATCATGAAAATGCAGCAAGTAGAAATAGATTAAAACCAGAGCCTTCAGTTCGAAAAATTAGAATTTTTATGATAATACTTAACACAAATAAAATATTTCATTTGTACAAGCTAATGTTAATCAATCTTATTTTATCAGCGATTGAAGAACCGCACTGCAGATATGACCCGAGGCACAGTGCAGAAGTCTGTTTGTGTTCTGAGTTCCCTTCCCCTTTTTGGACACATTCAAGTGAAGATGGCACTCATAACCCATGCTTATTTTGAAGAAGGAGATTTCAGCAAAGTGTCATTATTGCACGATACATACCATCACCTTAATAGTTGTTTGTCGCAAATAGAATCTGTTCGCACTGCACCTCAGTTATATGTGGGTGAGTAAATTTAATTTCAATCTGGAAGGTAACTTTTTGTATGAATGGTTTCATATATATTTCTATTTTCAGGACTTTCGGTGCGAGATCTAATATTGCAATTTCGGCACAAAGCTCTTCTCTTATTTAAATTATTATTATTAGAAAGGAGATTAGTGTTCTACAGATCTCCTGTTCAACCTTTATGTGCCACCATTCTCTCTCTTCTTTCACTTCATCCAGGCATGATAGAACATGGACTGAAAGAGTCAGCATGTGTAAAGTAAGTTTGATATGTGAAAAAACTTTTGTTTATCTTAGAAAGGATAAGCCCTAATGTAGGGTTGAAATTCTTTTCCAGTCATTACAGTTAGTTCCATTCCATAAATTCTCAAGAATTGTATTAATAGGAATGATTTTGTAGGCCTTCAAGACCTATGTCTCCTATTCCCGACTTCAGTGATGGTGCAGATTCTCCTGAACTCACAGAGAGCTTGAAAGGCAGTGACGAGAAGGAAAAATCACCAGATTCTCCAGAATCACCAGAAAAAAAAGTTTCTGTGAGCCAAACTGTACCTGAGAAAGAACCAAACCGTGACTGTGAGTCCGGGTCTGTTCCGGTTGCAACAGAAGCTGACGAGCGGTGGGAGGAAGTGTCTGCACATGAGGATAGGAAGTTACCTCCTTCTGACAGCCTCAATAGCCTGTTACAACGCGATCAGAGTATAAGTGATACAGTTGGAGATGCCAATGCTAGTACCAATATGGCTGCAGTTGCCCAGTTAAGCATTGAACAGTGTGGTGTCCCTTTACCTCTTTTCACCCAGGTAGGTGCTGACAAAATAGAGGTAATGATAGTAATCTCAAAGTTAAAATTATGTCAAACTTTTCCAAATTGATTCTTGCCTTCAGATTTTTTTAAAGTAAGCAAAACCTTTGGTTTTATAAAGATAAATTAATGTTTTTAAACTCTTCTTTTTTCCCCTTGTGAGCAGCAGCAGTGGAAGGTGAACAGTCTGACCACTACACCACATGCTGCCCACAAGTTGGTTATTATTCTGTTAAAAGGAAAATAATTCTACCTGGGGAAACAATTTTTGTTCTGTAATCATTTGTTCTGCTGCTTACCTAATAGTAATGTCATTGTCAAACAGTTAAAGCAATAAGCCCAATAGAATAATGAATGACAGGGGCTCTAACCTTGTTTTGAAGTTTATGTTATTCTTTGAGTTGTACATCAACAGGATACAATGAACAAAAATATAATTCCCTTTCTTTCTAAATCATTTCCAGGGCTACTTGTGTCATCCCTATCTCTCATTGCCATACTTGGACCTTTTAAGTGATGTTAATGTACGAGGTTATGTTGTGGGAGCTACAAATGTGTTATTTAAGCAGAAGAAGCAGTTAGCAGATGTTTTAGTGGAGGTATATAGATATTCATAATTTTTCAATTATTTTATTTTATTTTGGTTTGTTTGTTTATTAATTTATATGCCCTTGAAGGTGGAAGGTGCTCGTGTGGAGACACAAGAGCAGGAGCTTCGGCGGCAGCTTCATCTCACAACTGAAGATCTGAGATTTGCAGATTTTGTGGTGCGACATGTAGCTGAGGAGAGGCACGATGTATTTCTTGATGGAGTTGGTTGGGAAGGTGGTGACGAATGGATTCGGGCTCAATTTCGGGTGTACCTTTTATGCCTACTTAGAACCTCTCTGTTGCAGGGTTGGTATTAGTTACAGAGGCAAAATGTGTGTATTTTTATTCCTTAAGAGTGTATAAAAACCAAAACCAATGTGCTACTAAAGCTCAAACTGAATACAAAAATTAATGTACTCTTGGTTTATCTCTTTTGAATTTTGATTCCTTTAATCTAATTGGAATTAAATTTCTTACATGACGAGATAAATTTCCTTTTGAGATATACACAATGCATAAAGATCAGAATAATGCTGCAAATTCATTTGAGGGACTGAAATTGATAAGTGTGCTTTCTTTTTCCAGTTTATCTAGATTTCCAGAAAAGCGCTTTTTGCAATTGGTGTTATAAAAAAGTCAAAACCCTCTTATTTGACTTTAAATGTAATCATTCATGAAGAAAAGTATTTATAACTTCTAATTGCACACATTGGTATATTCAGTAAGGCATAGCAGCTAGCTTTTAGCACATCTGCTTGGCTGAACAATTTCCAGAGTATTCTGTCTTTGGTGATGCTTAACTGCGTTAGTACCTGTCAAAAAAATTATGTACTGTACTGAACAAAGATGTTCTGATACCAGTCCAATATTAATAATCTGACACGATTCTTTAATGATACTATTTGTATCGTTAATAATTACCAGGAAATTTCAAATTGAGCACTAATGATAATGGGTAGATTAATATTTAGTTTTTCTTACACAAATGAGTATAGCATTCGTAGATGAATATTTGCTGTGAGAGAAGAGAACGTTCATTTTCTGAAAAATTATCTAATTAATTCTGTCTCAGTTAAGTTCTCTTTTATTCAATGATGCAGTTTTTTTGTTTTTTAAGTTGAAATAGAATGAGAAATTGGACTGGCTGTTACTGGAACAAAAATTTGTTATAAATGTAATAGAATTGTAATTAATGTATTAAAATTATTGTTCAGTTCAAAAAATTATTTAGATTACCCATATAGTTTTTGAGAGTTGAATATAAAGTGGGAAGAACATTTTAAAACTTGTTTAAACTCGAAACACTGGGATTTTAGTTTTGAAATGGTTGATTTGAGACCACAATATTGTAGTAGTTTACTATGAGTAACTAATATGTTTTTATCATTTATGTTCCTTCCTTGTTATAAGAATTCTTTTTTTCTTTTGCAGAAGGCAGTAGGGAAATAGATCACTTTAATTCTTATTTTATGGCAGCATGGAAAACTACTCATAATTACAAAATGTGGGTCAGCAATGACCATCCAGGCATTTGGGATTTAAATCCAGGGCATCCTTTTGCTGGACAGTTGTCTGTGGCAGATATGAAGTTAAGATTGTCTCAGTGAGTTGAATGTATTGTTTAAAATTGGGGCTTTGAACTACTCAGAATAGGTTTTTAAGCATCCTATTCACATTGGAGTATAAACATATAATTTCTTGGCTATTTTCAGTACAATGCAAAATACTGAAGGTGGCCGAAAACTTAATCAGGCTATGGCATCTACAGGACGAGCCGTTGCCACTACTGGCAGAGCTGTGGGTGAGTTACTCCCGCTATTAAAAGGGCCCTAATTTACTGTTTAAAGGTTCTTCCATTTGGTTGCATGCCCCTCCAACATGGCCTAAAGTAACTGCATTTCTGTTTTAACCAATAAAATTATCTGAACTATGTTTTCATTACCACATATCAACTTTATTTAAGTGAATACAAAAATTTGTGAGGGCTGTATTGTTTGATCACACATTGGGTTGTGCTCTTCTTGCTCTTATGCCTACGTTGCCATAAGCCTACCGCATAGATAGTGACATGTTTGCAAGTGACAGGGTACAACAGTTCTTCATAATTGAGTTACGACAAGAGGAGTAAATAAATCAAGAGAAGGTAGGAGAATCATGAGAAAGTTGTTTTTTTATTACAAAGGAGCTTGTGACAACAGAAACAGGAAAATGGAATTGATATTCATGGAGTAAAGTGAGGTAAGCATTGTTTAAGAATGAGTTTTTCCCTCATTTTTGGTTATTCCCTTACCCTTTTTAAACCCATGAGCAGCCACTGCCTTGTATTATTCAGTTTTGTTATCCTGACCTTAAACATGGTCTGTTCAGTCATGTTAGGGTGTTGTTATTTTTTTTGACACTAATTTAAGCCAAACCAAACTGAGGGATGTTGTCTGAGAGTAACCTTAAAAATTATTTACATTCACTTCATAAGCATTGGCTAACTTGTTCCATAGTGGTTGTACTCCATATTATTTTTGTCATTCTGCGAACAGGAAAATATTTGCATGAAATCAAAATGCTTATGTATCTAGTATGTCAGAAAAGGACGCTTTAAAAGGACACTTAAACTTCTTTTTAAGATATATTATTAACATTCATAATTCTTCGATCAAAATTCAATCTTGTGCGAGTTTAATTAAAAGCATGTTGTAAGTAAATGATGCAAGCTCTCTGATATTCAGTATTTATGGCCGGTCCATGTACATACTTTTGATTACTTCATACACACACACATATATTCTCATATGCGTTTCAACTTGATTTTGTATTTATTTTTACAATATTATTTTTAGTGATGATATCTTAACAATGTAAATTACTAGTGAAACCTATCCCTAACATCAAATTGCATACTGAACTCGCAGGGATGCATTAACAGCTGAACTCATCTGTCTGACTGAAGAATTCACAGAGCAATTTAGTCTTCAGTGATGCTTAACTGTTTTAGTAGTGTCAAAAAAACCATCTACTGCCCTGAACAAAGCATATTCTGATACCATTCATGTGTTAATAATGGTCTGGTATGATTGTTTAGTGTTAAATTTCTAGTATCATTTATAATTACCATAAAATGTCAAACTGAGAATTAATGAGAATTGGTAAATTACAATTTAGTTTTTCTCACACAAATGAACATAGCATTTGTAGATGAATGTTGGCTGTGAGAGAAAAGATATTCATTTTGTGAAAATGGATTAATAAATTTTGTCTCAGTAGAGTTGTTTTATTCTTTACTCTAGATAATTGTTACTTTCCCATTCACGTATGGATACACAGAGTTACATACAATGTATAGAAGAAGTTATGTAACGCTGCGAAAAATCGATTTCAATGAAAATACACGCTTTAGGGTCCCTGAGACCAAAAAAGTGGTGATTTAAAAAAAAAAACTTCCATCCATCCATCTGTGAACAACACTAGTGCCTAAACTATTCATAGGATTTTTTCCAAATGAATATTTCCTGGTCTTTATGGCCCAACTCAAAGCTCTGCGGTTTTGAAAAACAGTCTAATTTTTGGGGGTACTTACATCAAACCTCAGGGACATGTTCAAAATTTTCTCAAAAATGGCTCAAAATTTGTAAGAATAGAGTGAAATGCACATATAAAGATGGCATAGGTCCAATTTTCACTGTTAACTTGGAATTTTTAAAAATAGTAAAAGTTCAACACTTTCAGCATTTTCCTTCAACTACAAAATTGAATATTGAGATTTTTTCTTCAAATAAAATGTGTTCTCCATAATTAGTTATTTTTAAAGTCGTGTACTTTGGTTTTCACATTTTGCATTTACAAAACCACTTGAATAACACTTTCATATATACGGCTCTAAATTTTTCAGCTAAATTTTCCATTTAGGTTGAATCTTATTTCTTGTACAACATTCTTAAAGTCATATTTCAATTTTACCATTAGAAAACAGAAAAATTGAGAAAAGTTTCAAAAAAATGTCCTGAGTTCAGTGATGGCAGTTGGAAAGAGAATGGAGCAAGACCGAAATGCTAGTTCAGACCAAGATAATAATATGAAAATGTCTGTGCCATTTGCAGCACCATAAGTTTTTTAGTTGATGTAAGAATGAGATATACAGCTAATACTGATCTGGCTATTACTGGAAAAAAAGTTGTTAAGAATCTGAGCGTTCCGAAGAAATAGGCATTTGTACGGCTTTTATTTCTGCAGTAATTATTATAAATTTTTGTTGGTCGTCCTTCACGAAAAAGTATTAATAAAAATAGAATTGAAGTCATGGGTCAAGTGAATTACAAAATATTGGAAGAAATGACAAGGCAATAAGAATGGAATGAACTCGAGACATATCCAGAAGAGCAATAGGAAGATATTCCCTAACATAAATATTGACAAGATACTCTGTAATGGGGATCTAAGGAAACCCTGAAATCAAAAGATTACAACACAAAGTTAAATGATAGTGCTAAACACTAATCTTAATGACAGTAACTGACTTAAAATATTAACTAATAAAGATAAAGTGCCATATGACAATGTAAGTGTATTTTAATGTTATAATTAGTATATTTGTGTATAATTTAGTATTAGAGTGATATTGTGCCCTGTGACCATAATGTTTCGGATAGTATTTTCTTGACTATTGGCTAGGAATGAGGCATGTATTTTGCTACATGGATGTCAGTCTGTTAATCAATCAAATAAATTAATAATAATTAAAATAAATAAATATATATTTATTTATTTATTTTAACTTATGACCCTGACAGACTTCTTCAGTGATGATGCTTGTGCCATGGCTTCTTAAATCATGGATAGTTCCTATGTTCAATTAGAGTCTGCCTGAGAAGTTAAGATACTCTTCTTGGCAACAAGGGATAATGAAAAATTCCCTCACCTTCTTCAGCTGAGATCCTTTGAATGTTTTGGGAACTTATGACTAAAGTATAAAAATATTAACAGTCACTTATTTAATTCACAGTTATTACACCAGAAGCATAGTAATTTACTATGTAAAATATATCTGAGGCCAATTACATTATAACATCTAATTTACATGTGAATTCATTGAACTATACTATGTTTTTAATGTTGAATGTGTGTGTGTATGTATGTGTACTTTTTGCAGGAGGAGCATTATCTCAAGCCAAAGGAGCATTGTCAAGTTGGTGGAGCACACTCACCACCACCCAAAATCAAGAAGGGGAAGTGTTTGTTGAGACAGGAGAGGACATTTCATCCCAGGAAGAAGAGGCGGAGGACATAAAGAAACTGAGTTCAGCTGCCAAAGGCCAGGCTGAGAAGTCCATCCTCTGTGACAGCAGCAATGAAACCCCTGGCTCTGCCACTGACATGCATCGTTCTCCCACTGTGGAGCAGTCGCATGTGGTGGAGAAGGACAAAGACATTGAGAAAAAGCCCTGCAATGAAGCAGAAACTAAACCAGATGTGCAGAAGCCAGTGGAAGTCAGGGATAAGCACATCATTTCGTCAGAAGATTCAGAAAAGCTGAATAGGGTTTTAGAAAATGATGTCTGCAATAAGCAGGTTACACAAGATATAACCAACGCTAATATACTTTCAGCGCATCCTGAACCCATTCAACTTATCCCGCTCTGTGCATCAGAAGCAGAACAGGTCCAGTGAGGTAAGTTCTTGATAGATGAATAGAGTTCTATACAGTTTGAGGTCACTTAAGTGCTTGAACCCACAGTATTTCTTGCTGCCAAGAGTTGGAGCATAGTTAGATCAGCCTGAAACTGTTGAATGATGATGTTGACTGATCTTTTGAACGTAATTTCATGGAGAATCATATTATTGAGCACAAAACACATTCTCACATACAAAGAAAAAACATACTTTTTAAAATTTGAAATTAAAATATATATTGCCTGTAAGTATGGTGTCAGTTCAAGATCATATAAAGTAAAATGTGCACTCTCATAAAGTAGATCTAATGAATGAAATTCAAATGTACTCTTTGGGAGCATGTATGTATTCTTTTTCAACATATTTTTGTTTTTACTTGTACATTAATTGTGTACGGTATAGTTTCTCATATTTCTTTGCAGAACAAAAGTTAGTGTAAATGTAGTATTTGTACATAACAGAATATAATTGCTACTGATGTTACATTTGTACTTTAATACCTCTTCTTGTTGATTTGATATAATCCATTGAACTTCTTCAAACATCTTACAATTCATTATGAAGTTCATTTGGAATAGTCTGGAATGTAAAATACTACTGGAAACAATAATATTCTGCTACAAGATAAGGTTGATACGAATTTACATATTAGCATGCTTTGGGAGACAATAGCAATTTAATCAATTAACATATTGATTGTTAATATATTCTGAAAAACACATCTCTTAATGATTAATATTCGTAGTTATTCATTCAAGTTTTTATAACATTACTTAAAGGTGGTGTAATAAAAAGAAATTTGCATTGCAGCGTTAGTTTATTTGTTTTCTTTTAATCATATCAGTATCACATTATTTTGATAGTTTATATGTGACTTAGATTCAACTTCATTCAGATGTGACTTAAATTCAAAAATGAGATATAGGGTTTTATTGTAAGTACCTTTATGAGATACACAATTCCAGTAGTACTTAATAGCAAAATATGCATGATGTAAGTAACACAGTGATTAGAGCAGGTATTAATTAGGATAAATGGTGCCTACTCTAATGTATTGTGCTCGTCAATGACATTTTTACAAAAATTGTGGTCCAAAAAATAGGATGTTTAGAAGAGAGAAACATTCCTGTGAGGTTTAGAATATTCACTTTTATTGATAATTGCAGAAAGTATGCTTCCTAATAATATTGTAAATATTGTATAGGTGAATCAAGGACATAAAAGATTGGCTATAGAAGTTCATGAAATACTGAATTGTGGACTACAGTTGTTTTGTAAAAACAGTCAGTTTGTACAACGTTATATTGACATATAGAATTTTATGTATTTGTTGAATGATCTGTGTTGAATTTATAAACAGCTTTTTGTTGATAATTTTTTATATATTTTTTTTATGTATGTGTGTATTGTTTGAAGGAGATTATACATTGTTTTCTGTTCCTATAGTAAACATGCATGTGTAATGTAAATTTGGTGTTGCCAAGAATCTCATTAAGGTGATTTGTATGTATGAGTTTTTAGTATACATAAATGCTAACTAATTACAGGATTTGTGATGTTTACAAGTGTGTGAATTGTGAAAAATAAAATGTTTTGTGCTTACTGCTCATAATTCTGTAGTATCAGTGTCACGTGTATGTTGAGTAAATATATTATACTTCTTCACTCTTTAATTTCTTCTTGTAATATGTTATGTGAGCTCAACATTGCCTGTGTATTTTCACACAAATGTGTTAAACCTGTAATTTGTGTATTGTTTTGCTTGAATATTCATGGATGTATCAACTTTTTCAGTTCATTGTCAAAATGAATCACTTTGTCATGTTATGGGGTGCTCTAGTCACACAGAGGAAAGAAGAACAGTGATTGGCAAATGGAAACTTGAGAAGTGTAATAGTAATGAGATGGCTGCCCTCCTTCAGAAGTGATTAGAAGTGTAGAATTTGTAATGCTGCAGTGCTTGTTAAAATTCAGCATTCTTTGGTGAATGTGAATTCACTTTCCTTTCGAAACAAATGTGTCCAGGAATAAGTGACTTTCAGGAATTTGTTAGTATTTCTTCCTCTGTTTTTATCTCATCTTCTCTTTCTCTTCTGTTAGTATTATGAGTTCCATATCAGTTTTTTTTCTTAAGATATTTCAGTGTTCTTGATAGATTTTATTTTGTTTTATAAGTGAAAAGCCAAGAGATATGGATCCTAAAAAGTAGCTATTTTTCCTGAGAACATACAAGTGCTAGTTGTAGTTAGAGATTAGAATAATTTTTATGAAGATGTCAGATTGAAAAGTGTTGTATTACATACTGTTTTGTCATTTTAGTTGATATGTTTGAAGCCTTCTTTTTTAGTGTATTTCTGTATATATTATTGTATTTATTTTCAAAGTAGACCCAAGAGAGATTTTGTACTGTTTTTAATACTGGTGGAGCACCTAAGAGTATCTTCTTGCAACGATTTTTTTACATTTCAACAAAAAGAATGCCAATCTTATGTATTGGGTAGACATATTTATTCATTATTTGCTGGAATTGTAAGCTTAATTTACACTTTGGCAAAGTCTTGTATTACACTATTTTGTACACACCTAAGTCTCATCACGCATGATTGTGGGTGTAGTTCATACAAATTAAACATTGATCCGTGTTTGAAGGAAATTTGAAACATGATGTGGAATTCTGCTTGTAATGAGTACTCATGTATAAGGCACATAATATTAAGAAGACTAGATGAAGCTCTCAGATGAGTTTCAACTTCACAAATCCAGCGGGCAATGAATAAATGAGACATCTAATATTGACATTTTATATCTTGATTCGATTTTCTCATTTTGTTGTGCTACTTCTCCTCATAACTCTCTTCTATCTCTTGTATCCTTCTGGAAATTCAGGCTGATGTCTTTAAGTTTGAAGACCTGCTTCAACTTACGATGTTCATTAAAATGCAATGTTGTATATTTTTATTTTCCAGGAAATGCTTTCAAAAATTAAGAAGTTCCTAAATTTCATTAGAAAAATGTTGTAAAATTCTAAACTGATTCATTTTGTTTTGGTCAACTCTGGTATGATTATCATAAAGTTAGAAACCATAGAATATTTTAATTTATCAGGTATAAAAAAAACACAGAAATTATGATTTTTAAGTTCCGACATTTTTGCCTTCAATCAGAGATATATTATGCATCTTTTTTTACTTAAAAGGACTTAAACGTTATTGCATTAGAAACAAAAACAATGTGTATTTCTAAGATTGTGATGGAGCTGATGTGTTTTTTGTTTAACATGACACATTTATTTAGAGACAGGCTAGGTCTAAAAAATTAATAATTTTTTATGATAATTTCTGTATTTTTATTTTGAAAATTAATAGAAATCATGTGTAGAGAGTCAGATTACTATGTAATATATTATGCTCTTTTCTTTAAAAAAGTAATTTTTATGCACAAATTTGTAAGTTGCGAGTGTATGCAAAATGAAAACAAAGATAAGTCCTATTACGAAGTTATTTGCTATTTTCATTTATGTTCTTTAACCTGTCTGGTAATTTTTCATAATTTGTATTTGTAAATGTGAATTGTTTGTAATATTCCTTTCGTAATGATTCTGGGAAAATCAGAACCACTCACCATTGTACAATTTTTATTAGTTTGCAGAGAAATTCCAATAAACTGAAGGGTAGATATGTATCCAAAGTTATACAGAAAGTTAAGCAATTTTTGTCTCAAATTTGTATGTACTTAATCATTCATACTATTTAATCAAAAAATTAAGGAAGTTAAGGCTTGGAATAGTTTTGTAAAGATCTACAAGGAACCATTGGTTTATTCTACATTCATTTAATGTTTATAATACAATAGAATATGCTAGTGTTTGATTGTGCTTAAAGAGTAGCTGGATGCAAATGTCAGAGACATCACTGTATTATTACAAGAAACTGATTAGTGTCAATAACTCAGATAATTTTGAAACGTGTATTAAAAAAAAACAGCAAAAAGAAATTGTTCTTCCTACACCATGTAGGTTCATCAATGTTACTTTCTGCGATGTTTGTTTCATTGAAATTTTTTTGTACTATTGTGAAGATGTTCTTATTTGAAAACAATGTTAAGTTTGTAGTGCAATTTCATTAAAATACAGCACTTTCCTTTAGTTGAGAGGGTAGAATGATTGTATAACACTAAATTATTTGTGGTATACTTAATTCTCCATTGACTGATATTGAATCTATATTGGATTGTTAATATTCATCTCTTCTGATTTTTAAATATCTTTACTTGTGCAATTGTGGCATGTTAATTTTTTCATCAATTTGTTGTTGTTTTTGAATTATTTTTCTAATGTTGCCTACATTTGAGAAAACAGTTATATCTAGTTGAACCTAAGTCTAATCGGGCACTTTATGTCCATGTGAGCCATATGAAATTAATTGATCAACTCTTTGAAATGAATATCTAACACACAATATGTTATGCTTTACACTATCCTGTTTTCTTCTTCAATTAACTCAGAATATTGCTTACTATACTTTTGAAATAAAAATAAACATCTTTATGTAGATTTGTATTTCAGTTTATGAATGTGTTTTATTGTCACTGGCTTCTTCCATTTCCTCTCTTTTCTAATTAGGGATGTAACAAAATTAGCGCAAACTTTCCCATGTTATTTGAAATAGCCCATATTATTAATTGTCTACGTAATACTTATGTTGTAACGTACAAATAGGCCATCATTCACAAAAGTGTTTTCATCAAGCTGCTGGGAACATAGCAATTCATCCATTTTCCAACATGTTTCAGGACCTCTGTTATAAAGAAAATTGCCTCTCTTTTTTATTTATTTATTTATTTATTTAATTTTCATTTGAGATTGTGGCTTTGTTCCACATGGCCCTATGAAGACTGAAAGTAGGCCTACTATTTAATTCTAGGGTGAACAGACTCCTACTACTGTCTTGTAGCTTCAGTAGCTTTCATGTGTATATTTAACATCAAAAAGAAGCTAAAAACTGTGTCTGATAAACTTTGAGAAGAAGTTCAATCTGTGCACTGGAATTGTTACAAGAGTAATTCTCCTGCTTTGGTCAAAAGGACCAAAACATAACTGTTTTTCAGCGTGCTCTAGTGCCTCAACTGTTTGTCAGACATTAATGTTAATGTATGCATTTTGTAGGAAATTGTATCCACTTCAATTTTTTATGTAATAATTGCTTCTATAAAACGCTAAGTTTGGAAGATATTTGTAAAAATTAAAAAGGGCGAAATTTTGAGGATTTTATTTTATTATTATTATAATTACATTATTATTTTGTTTTGACATAGCAAAACAAGCATCAGATTCTAATTTAGCACCCTCAAGAGCATGAAACAGTTGAGTGAAAAACGTCCGGAATTTTTTCCTGGATCGAGCCCTTTTGAGCACCAATTGACTGGACTATATGTTGGACAAGCGGGCGGAACAATTTCCTGCAAAATAAAAGAATATTTTAAATGTCCAAAAAAAATTCTACCTGTGCTAACCTCTTGATTCAATTTCACTACTCTTTTTCACCTCGAGCGTTTCAAAATTCTTCACTGACCTCACAAAGGGGAGTGGATGAACATTTTTAGAAAAATTAAAAATGTTGGTACTATTCAAAAATCCAAATTTCAATATCTTTAATGAAGATTGCCTGATAACAAGCAGTTCCTTAATAAGTATTTTTATGGATTACGTCCTTCACTTCCTATTCCCTCCCCCTTTTTGGCATTCATTTTTCACATTTCACAAGGCCTCCTAGATGTTTCCATTCCATTGAATGTTTCATAGTGTGATTCAGAGAGTATATTGTGATTGTGATTGTGTGATTCATGATGCTTCGGTAATATTTTTACTTTCTTGTACACATACGTATATTTACGAAGTAATATGCGTAGTATAGGGAAAGCTATCACACCTCCAATAGAAAAGTGACACAAGTGCGAATTTCTGATTTCTCAGAAATTGCAATTTGAAGTTTCGTAGATTAATCGTAATGCTTATAGATTGAACCAAATATTCGCCTTCTAGCGGACAGTAATTGAACTAATTCAAAATCATTGGATGGATCATGGATTCAGAATAGTAGCAGTTCCTCTTGGTAACCTCTTATCAGCTTTTAGCTGAAAAATGACGATCTTGTGTCCCTTTTCTATTGGAGGTGCGCTATGTAATGCTGCGGAAAATCTATTTCGAGATCTCGACGGAAATACACGTTTTGGGGTCCCTTGAGACCGAAAAAAGTGTTAATTTTTTTCAAACCGTTCCTCCGTCTGTCTGTCTGACAGTGAGTCTATCAACACTATTAGGACTTAAACCGTACGTAGGTTTTTGTTGTTGTTTTCTTCAAAATGGAGATTTCCCGGTCGATCTGATTCCATTCAGCTCCGGCTGAGCTTAAAACACCGCATTTTTAGAAACACTTAAACGTCATTTTCTCAAAAATGTCTCCAAATGTTTCTTTAAACTTTTCCGACGAATAGTGATAATTGCACTGTTTAAGATGACATGGAATTAATTTTGCTGTTCTCTTTTGTTTTTTCAAAAATTACACAACTGTATTATTTTTTAATATCTCTGACGACTGTAATATTCACATTTCCAGCAATTTGTAAACTAATGCATTTGTGACTGAATGTGTTTGATATGACTTCAAATGAAGTTTTCGAAAACTCCATAGTTTTCTGTGAAAAGAGGTTCAAATTCTGAATTTACAGTAGCGCCTAAGAGGCTCCAATTTTTTCAAATAAAATTGCCATTTAGGACGAAGGTTTACCTTCTTTAATATTCTTAAAATAATGTTTCCGTTCTACTAATAGGAAACCGAAACCATTTTTAAAAAAATAAAAAAATCTACTTTGGGCGGAAATATATTTGGAGCTAACAAGAGTATGTGGCAAGTCCGAATAGGTAGCCAAGATCAAAGGAATTAGAAGACTAATACGGGAATGTCTGTACCATTCTGTAGCACCAATAGTTCAAAGTAACTTTCTCTTATACCAATAGAGACGTCGAGGACTCGTGACTTTTAGTTGTTCGGTGGACAGCAGGAGACCGGCGGGGGTGGTCCTCTTTGGCGGCAGGCTGAATGCCACCAAAGCTCCGAAGGGGCAGGCCGGGCCGTGTCTCAGAACGCGGGTGTCAACTAGCGCAGAGGGGGATGATAGGTGAGAACAGCCTCGGGACAGCTAACGGCGGGCTCCAAATTACACAGGCCCAAAATACGGTAATGAGATGACCCCGCCTGCGTGGGAGATCTGTCACGTGATCCCTCACGAGAGAGGCTGGAGAGAAAATGGCCAGAGCATTCGAGTTTGAACCGGATCGCGGTGCGGAAGGCACTTGTCACCCGTCAGGGGTTATCGCTAACTTTGGCTGTGAGCTGTGGCTGTTCGCCACGGGACGAGAGGCCAGGAGTGGCGCAAAGATTAGCTGCTGGGGGTTGTGCCAGGCTTGGGAAGGGGGGATGCCTCAGGGATGTGCAGCGCTAGTTCATGAGTGTAATTATTGCATAGAAAAATTGTAAATAAATCTATACATATTAACTCCATGTCTGTGTTTCATTCACACCACGACGTCACACACGATGTATCGATTTTCTTTTAAAACGTCGTGATAATTCTTTGTTGGAGGTTTTCTTCTGTCTATAATGGTTTTAAAACGTTTTGTTTCATTGAGGTACGCTTTTTCGAGGTGAGATGTTCTTTTTTTCTCTAAAATAAAGTTGTATTTTCACGATAAACAAGTTGTGTCCGACAGTGGCAAAAAGGCCAGGAGAGACAGAGTAAGCTTTTTTAGATGCCCTACTGTTCCCAAAAATCAGGAATTTAGCACCCTCGGAACAAAGAGAACAAAAATAGATTTCTGCTTTGAAGCAAGAAAAGTTAGATGGCTATTTCAAGTCAATGGTAGGTTACAAGGTCCGCCCATTTCGTAATTCGCAGTGATCACGTCTAAACATTTTCCTGTAATTCTCAGATGTTTCACGGAAACATAATATGTTCATTACCCACATTTTTTAATAATATAAACAACCCACTAAAGTACATAGTTCTCCAGAAATAAGTTGCCATTTACTTGCATTGCCTGAACGTGTTGTACAAACACAGTATCATAGTATATATGAGCTACTGACATTTTATGAATCTTCAAGACTTAATTTGTGTAAAAACTAGACCATCTTCTTGAAAACTGTTTGTGTAAAAGCTAAGTCCAAATATTACGTATGTCACCAAATCAACTGTTTTCTTCTGCCACACTTCTCAAATCGTGTTCAGTGGCGTAACGTTTGGGCCAGCGAAATAAAAGAATATTACCCGCCAATGCGGGTAGGCCCAGGTGAAAGAGAGTGTATTTTATGGGATATTTTTATTATTTAAGGTAGTAACACTACTTGTGTTTGTTATACACTTTTATAAAGAGGAGCCCGAGTAAATATTTTGCGGGCGGGCCCGCTCTCATTTCAGCTACTGGTCTTATCCCAATTGTACTGCAACAAATGGCATCAAATGTTCACTAAAACTTGCCAAGCAAAAGATATTGAAAATACGTTTCATAAAAATGTTAACATTAAAATCATTGGGGTTAACAAGTAATATTTTAAGCTCGTGACTTGAATATTGAAATTCAACCACCAAAATTTGAATTCAGCACAGGAAACTTCAAATATTTGTTCAAACATGATAAAAACGTGCAATATTTATTTATATTTTTAAATAACCATATATTTATTACAATTAATACATTAAAAAATTAATAGTTAAATTATATTAATTTCTGGTTAACCTAGTATTGAAAGTTCCTCCACACCGTTAAAATTACGAACATTTTTGGGACTGTGAACATTGTGGATTTTTCGAAACTAATATTAAAGTTTAATGTATGGAATATTTCTTACAATGATAATAATTAATACAAATTTCTAAAATAAATATTTAAAAAACCGATATATAAACCATACCATATATAAAATATATAAAACCATGTATAAAAATATATGGACGGAGTCACTTATATGCTAATTGCACAAGGACTAGCCGTAGAACGCAGGACATCAACCGTGCCTTACTCTGCGCATGCGATGTTTTTTCCGGTGACCATCATCATAACCATGCGACAAGATCTCGCACGAGACGGCGGGGGACGAAGTTATCCAGTCTTGTTTGTGCGATTCATGGCTGCCCTTGCGATGGAAGAAGGCACCAGGAATACTGCGGCGATGGAAGTGAGTTGCAGGATGTCTGTGGAAGTGAGCATCGGGATAAATGGGATGATGGAGGACGGCGCTCAGAAGACTGGAGCGTTGGGAGGGGTTTTGGAATGACTGTGACCATAAAGGTAGGCATTGGGATGTCTGCGGCGATGAAAGTAGCTTTAGCGACCACTAATCTGTCATGTTACAGTTACGTTTAAACTTCAATAAAGATCAGACAGGACACACGAAACAAAGTAATATAGGAAAGTAGTTGCTGAAGGGTTTTACAACACACAATAATTTCCAAGAACGGAGGGCGATATAGAAAAACAATGGAAAACGTTTAAAATAGTAATTGAACAAACCTTAGAAACTTTTGTTCCATTCAAGTTTCTGAAAAGTAATTTTGACGCGAAATCATGTATAATTATTTCTAAAACGTGTTTTGTAAACATCCCTACACCGGATGAACTACTCAATCTCAGCGAACTATGTGTGGTTTAAAATCTGGAAGTCGACGGTGTCTCCTCTTGTGGTTTATATATTTGTGTGTTGTGTAAACAATAACGGTGCCCTTGGTGGCTCGTTGGTTAGCGTGCTCGCTTTCCACGGCGCAACCCCGGGTTCGGTTCCCGACCGGGGCAAAAATAAATTGTAAAAGAA